TAGCTAGATGTGGTCTATAGAACCCTAGGAATATCCCACAAACACAGTTTGGTCATGCAAAAACCCTACGTGAAGATTTCAATTTTGAGATCTTAAATTGCACACACTGTGTTCTTGTGAACCGTACACCCACTCACCAGACCGTTCGTGAGAACGGTCATAGAGTTTGACACTTAGTCTCTGTGGTTGATGTTCCCACAAACGGTCCGCGAGAACACCGGACTGATCGGTTAAAATATTCAAATATTCACTCCGAGAACACTCCCCTTAGGTTGAATTTACTAGACCCTCGGATAGAACCTCAGACCATCCGTGAGATCACACACTTAGAGTTTTTAGAAATGCTCTGGTGGACTGTTCCCGTGGATCAACCGGTGCTCTCCCGGACTGTCTATTAGGACATCGACATAACCTGATCAGCTACACTTCACATGTATGTTATATATTATTATAGCCCATATGTTATACATCATTATAAAAACATACCATGTCATCTAATTCGATACATTGTACTCATTTCGCACCATATATTCTTAGGTGACGAGGTCTCCGAAGAAGTCAACACCGAGGAGACCCAAACACTAGAAGTGTCTGACGAACGTCAGCCCGAACAATCTCAAGGCAGGCACCTAAGCAATTCTATTTCTTTTTGTAGATTGCATAATGTGCCTAAGGTTAAGTAAATGCATTGCTATGTTACGGTATGACTAGAAATCCTATGTTTGTCTATTTGAGCTCCCATTCCTTAAATGTTATCCGCATCACTCAAACATTGGTTGTTTGCTTGAGTTATTCGAATAATCCATGTTTAGCTTGCTTAGACAGTAGAAGTAGAGATGATGATGGGTTTCTCACCTCTCGTGTGTTTTAGGAAATGCTTGTCGACTAAGCAACATATATGGACTTATGATCTAAAACTTGACCAAGATGATAAGAATGATGTGAGGGTTAGGGAGGGGTTGGACCATGGCAAGACGAGCAAGGTCTTGGATGGTGTAGCTCGTTGACCGGTTAAGGAGCGTGTATCCGTGGTAGCAAGACGTGAACATACTCGTATAAACCACTTGTCATATATGGGCGTGGCAAGCCAAGTACTTAGTTGCGACCGGTTTTCTCGTGGATTTGGCGCGAGGAGTGACGCGAGGTAGCTAGGAAGCCAGTACTCCGGTACCCATTCAAACTGTTTGTGGGCATTCTTGGCCGAACTGGGTAAAGGTTGAGGCATCGAGATATCTTTTATGTACCGACTGGTCGTATCAGCGATATCCCTTGCTTTGGTGGGGTTAATGTGTACCCCTCTATAGAGTCTTGATATGCTATAAGCTCTATGCTTCTAGATACGGACTAGAGTTGAAACAAGGACTTGTGGAAGATCGAGATCTGATGACAATTTGCTTACATTTTATTTGAGCCACACTATGCTTATCAAATGCTTAGTTGTAAGGTTCACATTTACATTCTTGTATAAAATGCTTTTATGCAAAACCAACTTCATTCCTTGCTACTAACCAAATGCATTATCCTTGTACTATGTTGCGTAAGTCCTGCAGAGTACATTCAAGTACTCACACTATGATTGTTTAAGTTTTGCAGGTAGTGTTGCCCAAGCTTATGGATTCTTCTATGCACCCAAGTCCACCGAGGACCAAGAGTGGTAGAAGGATTGTTGTTGCATAGATGTGTGGGAGATGGCATGATCCACACATGTTTATCTTAAAAACTAAGTTGTCTAAATACATCCGCTCATACTCTGTTGGTTGGATGAATGTAATGCGTTATGACTAAGTTTGTGAACAACTAGTTGTAAAACTTAATGTACTCTTTAAACTGTGATGTAATCTATCTGTGTGTTGTGATGATTTTCCTTTCCATCTGTGTGATCCTAGATGAAGGTTAGTTTAGTACATCATATGGGTGGTGTACCGGGATGACCGATTAAGTGTTTTATCTAACTAAGTGTAGTCAATGGAAGACTACTTAGTTAGGTATTCTACTTCAAAGGGAGGCAATCCTGACAGGTGCCGAGCCGACGAGAGATGTAGAGCTCTACGAGGGCACCCCGGTCGGCGTTTGAGAAGGAGACACCACTTCCGGCGCCTACAAGTTGGGCATACTGTGTCGGTGAGAGATGAGGAACTAAGGATTGGAAATTTGGGATACTTCTTTGGTTATATACCTAGGGTTTATAGTTGGGCTGGGCCATATGTTTGTGGGCCGGTAGCTTCTAAATGCTAAACACTTTAACCTTCGGGACCCTATGGGCCCCGTGTGGAAAAATCTAAACCCGGACCCCGCACCCACCCCGATTCGGGACCCTGAACCTAACGGGTCCAAAACCCACGGGGATCCGACCCGCCGCCGCTGCCATCTCTAGTTATATGTGAGGATGGCGGCGCAGCAGAGCTCTTGTCGGCGAGCATCACCGGCCTAGATGAAAATGCTAAGTCTGGGCTCTAGGCATGCGTTTTCTCAATGGAATCACTTAACGTCATCGGATGTGGAATGGACCCTTAGACTGACCAAATGGGTCGCTCGTCTAGGCTCAGCACGGGTTTGAAAAAGCATGACCTGATCCTACTAGGCCAGGAACGGCATGATCATGCCGAAGGCGCCAATAGGCCTGGAGGTTGGCGGAACGGCACGCCGGGCCGTTTCACATGTCGGGCTGCCCCAATAAACACGAACCGCATTGTAGGTTGAGCTAGCCCGCGGCACAAAGCAGGACTGGGAAGGGTCGAGGAGGTGATGCCAAGCGACACGAGGGCTACCATGCATGGAAGAACAAATAGGAAATATGTTTAGAAGAAAAAACTTAGTTATTTTTATATTTTCCTAAGTTAAAATAAATTACTTATGCCTTGTTTGGATGTTCATGTCTCAATCCATGTGTGTTGGAGTGGATTGGTGCGGAATTTAAACTAAATTCCACACCGACCCAACTCAACACACATGGATTAAGGTGAATACATGGGCATCCAAACATACCCTTATGGATTTTTAGAGATCAACCCAGTTTTTTATTATTTTATTAAGAAAATAGAAAAGATAGATGTTGTTCGTTATCCAATTTCGTAGTTTAGGATTGAAAATTAGATGGATGTGCAGGTGCAACTTAGAGGTTGATAATTATACTTTGCCCTAACTAAAAAAATAATGTCACTCCAACATCTGGACAAGTCTGAAAAAAAGTAAGAGGTCCAATTTCCAAGAAAATACTTTTATATATCGCTACTAATAAAGAGTTTAAGTGCCGTTTGAATATTGGGAAATGTACGATGGGATAGGGAAATAAGGGGTATGATAGATCTTATCCTATGTTTGGATAATGGGAAATGAATAGGGATAGTGAAATAAAGAGTAGCATACCCATTTCATACCCTTTTCTGCCATCCCAATCCATTTCCCAATCCTATCCCTGTCCTAATCCAAATGTGGTGTGACAGATAAAGAGCATATAGCTAAAGCCATGTGTGCTAGAGTCACACAATGGATTGTACTTGTACTTGTGTGATTCCTGGTCCATCTGCTGTGATTCCAATTGCAAACCACACCGCGAATATCATTCCAAACAGACATGCTATCTTCACGGAGAGGTGCTCGTTCGCAGTATTATTAGCAATAATCACCACAGCGGCGATGGTGACCGCAAAGATCTGGAACAGAGAAAAAGGCATAGAGATACGTAAGTCAGCAAACAAATATTTCATGTTCGTCATTTTTTTAACTGATGAAAAATCAGTAACCTTTCCGTCTTGGTTCGGCAGACAAGCTAGGCACCTCATTACGTTTTGTGTAGCATACGGACTCGATTTGTAGTACGAATGACGACGGAAACGGAAACCAAGCTACTCAGATTCGAGTCCAAATACTTTACTGCATAATATGGGATCTGTCGCAGATCCGGCTTCGGCTCGAGGCAGAGGCTGGCTCCCCTTTTCTTCACCTGTTCGTTTATGCTAAAATTTAGTTTATGTAGATACTTATGCTGAAATTTTACAAGGGGATGCTGACCGGCCGGCTCGCCGAGCAGAGTCGTGACCGTGAGTTGCACGTACGAGATCAGATCGCTGGAGGCAAACCGTGTCTGCACAGCCTCACGGACCACGGTTGGGTAGCCGGGTGCCGGATAGGCTGGCCGAGGGCCCGAGGCGCATGAAGAGTCATTAGTCATGAACACACACACTAGTCGCGATAGACCCATCGACTCGACTTCAGGTCAGCAGGGAAGCCCACAACCAACACGTCGGTCTGGGTGACCTGGCGGTTTCCTACTGGACGTACGGGTGATTTACTACGCCGCGATTGGGTGACGCGGAATTAAGTGCGGTGGGCAGCAGGGCTTTCCATTCTAGCGGCATCAAGCATGTTCGGGAGGTGGTATCGTATCGTGGATTATTTACTGCTGGCTAATTTGGTGTGAGAGAAAAACACTGTTCCCAACTGAAAATTTACGATCGTTTACGAGCAAGCGAACAGCTGATGGACGATCACACTGACTGACTGACTGACTAACTGTCCCGTGCACCGTGCTCAGTTTGGACGCGCGTTGCGGGCATGCCATCCGTGGGGCCCACCCTGGCAGGGACGTTTTTGGAGCCGCGACCGTTGATTTTGACAGGTCGCATCTACCCACGAGCTGGCCTGCCGGACACCGGACGTTCGCAGCCGGAGTGACGACCGGGGAGGCTGGGCAGGCTGCTAATGGTCTGCTGCTGTGCATGTGCTCCACCTCCCGCGGTCAGTATCAAACACCCTCGAGTCTGCAAGAATTCACCAAAACGCCACCCGCTAAATCCGCTGCGCGTGCCTGACCTGGTTCACGCCTTGATCGAGCGCGAGTGCCATTGTTGAAAATAAATCCAACTTCCACGGGCACGTTATTCCCCACGCGCGCTACAAATATTCCCTTGGTCCAACAGCTTGGCACGCAGCACGCTGCGGTAGCGAAGCTCCCCTCCCTCCGTCCCCGGCGCCCCGCCCGCTCCTTGTCCGCTCCGGCGATGGGCACTCGCCGCCGCGGCGGCCTGCTCCACCGCCTCCTCGCCCTCTCGTCGCTGCTGCTCCTCGCTTCCGGTGAGGTCATCTTCGAGGAGCGCTTCGAAGGTACGCTTGCATGCCTCACTATCACTTGCCCCGCTCCTCCCAACTTCCCGATTAGTCAGAGGATATATAACTTGATGCTTGCTGCATGCCCCATGCTAGGCTAGATGCTTCTATCCTGTTTGTAGCTTTCGATTCGAGTTTGCTGAATCAGTAGCTGGATTCCGCTCTTCCATTTGGGGAAAGACTGGACAGTCTGACAAACGAGACGACTGGTAGTGGTAGGCGTGCGCGTGCGCTAGCGCTACTTTTCTCCGTGGCCCCCTGGATTTACGAGTATTGTCCATATTGCCCCGACCATCCTTGTCCTTGGCAGATCATGCTTCCGTATTGGCACGTTAGCACACGTGGATAAGAATTGTTAGTTCTCAACCGTTGTGAGGTGACCTCGAACTGATGTAGTGAGGCTGTGAAGGTTTCCTGCTGAACTTTTTTTTTCGTGCCTCAAGCGCCCATGCTGGAACATGAGTTCGTTGTCTTTGCAAGTCATGACTCATGAATTACTAAATTAGTAGGGTCCACACTAATAGATCATCCCTATTCTACTATAAGGTGTGTTTTACTATGTAACTGAATTGTTAATTCTCTGTTCCAATATTCAGATGGCTGGGAGACTCGGTGGGTAGAATCCGATTGGAAAAGGAGTGAAGGGAAAGCTGGAAGGTTCAAGCACACAGCGGGAAGATACTCTGCAGATCCTGATGACAAAGGTTTACTTTCTCATCCATGTCACTTCTGCTTCAACTGATGATGTTGATTATTTGGTCACAAAGCATCTAATGCTTGCACTACGGCTTAGTCCCAGGAACTTGACTCATCCATGTCATTTAATTTTGTGGACACCAGGAATACAAACAACAATGGATGCTAGACATTTTGCTATCTCAGCCAAGTTCCCACAATTCAGTAACAAGAACCGGACACTTGTGGTCCAGTACTCCATTAAGTTTGAGCAGGATATTGAATGTGGTGGTGGCTATATTAAGCTTATGTCTGGTTATGTCAACCAGAAAAAATTTAGTGGGGACACTCCATACAGGTAAATTCTTTACCGGCATTTGCCCCACGAAATTTTCCATTTCTTTGAAGCTGCATTGGCTCAAAGTCGTCTGTGTGCTTGACTTGTTCACATTGTTGAATAACTATGAGTGTCACTACCTCCTACAATTTGTTTATGTTTTAGTATTAGATGTATATGTTTTGTACACCCTTGACTTGTACCACAAACCGTTTCTGGCTATATATGAAAGGTAACCCAACCCTAAGACTGTGCGGTGTTTTTGTTGTCTCTCTACAGTTATAAGTCCAAATAGATATAATGGCTTGTGAGTGAATAATCCTATCGCTGCTTCTGAATGTGGTGTCTGAATATGATTTGCATCCTCTACTTTTATGCAGTTCATGTGTGCTGCTGAGTGATGCCTGCTAACTTTGACAACTTTCTATTGTGCAGCTTGATGTTTGGGCCAGATATATGTGGTACTCAAACAAAGAAGCTCCATCTTATACTCTCTTACCAGGGGCAGAACTATCCCATCAAGAAAGATCTAGAATGTGAGACGGACAAGTTAACACATTTCTACACTTTCATTCTTAGGCCTGACGCGTCTTATAGCCTACTTGTTGACAACCGTGAAAGAGAAACTGGGAGCATGTACACTGATTGGGATATCCTCCCTCCTCGTAAAATTAAGGATGTTCACGCCAAAAGGGTTGGTTATTATTTTTATGTTAGAGCTTTATAGTTCCCAGAATTTACAGCATGATAAACTGATATTATCTGACACACATATTTGCTGCAGCCTAAGGATTGGGATGACAGAGAATATATCGAAGATCCTGATGAAGTAAAGCCAGAGGTTTGTGATTCCACAATTATTTTCTGAATGATGCATTGGCTGACTATTGTATAAGTTTATAACATATCATTGATGTTGGTCAGGGCTATGATTCTATCCCAAAACAGATTCCTGATCCGAAGGCCAAAAAGGTTTGCAAGTTCTAACATCAGTCAGACTTAAAATATCAACCATGTAGTCACATATGCAAGGAACACTCATGCAAAGAATTTGTTCTAGATAGCAGTGTTTTCAAGTCGTCCGATTAATCGTCCTAATCGGTCCCTAGTGACTGATTAGGGGTACCGTCGACTTGTACAAGTCGTCCGATTAATCGTGATTAATCGTCCTAGTCGGTCCCATGGCGACTTAGGTTCGACTGGACGACTTGAAAACATTGCTTGATAGAAACAACGCAATATGACAAATATTTGACATTTTTCCTTCTAAACCAGCCTGACACATGGGATGAGGACGAGGATGGAATATGGAAGCCCAGGATGGTATCAAATCCAGCATACAAGGGACCATGGAAACGCAAGGTCTGAATTCTTGCTTGGCGATCACTCCTTGGGACTTAATATTAATTATATAGCTCAGTTTTTCACATGCTCCTGCTTGCAGAGAATTAAAAATCCTAACTACAAGGGTAAATGGAAGACCCCATGGATCGATAATCCAGGTAAGCAAATAAAGATGTTGGTTTTATATGTGTACTCAGTTTAAGTAGTCAATAATACGATGCACATTCAGTACACTATCCAATATTGCATTCAACTGCTGATTTCGAATTAAACCCCACTTTAAGCTTTAAAGATCAGGCGCTGTCAACTGTATTATTTTGCACTTTGCAGAGTTTGAGGATGATCCAGATCTTTATGTGCTGAAGCCTTTGAAGTATATTGGAATTGAAGTTTGGCAGGTACTATATATAATATTTTTTCAGAAATGATTTCTTTGACATAATTTTAGCTTCTTGCTGCCTTCTTGATTGATGTAAGCACCGTGTAGACTTATATCTCAAAAGTATGCAGGTAAAAGCTGGTTCAGTTTTCGACAACATTCTGATTTGTGATGACCCTGAGTATGCAAGAAAGGTTGTTGAGGAAACTTGGGGTGCTAATAGGGAGGTAATTGCAGATGAAAATTACCAGATTGAACCGGGCTTCTCCTGGGAACACTATCTCATTTTTCTCTATTTTTGCAGGCTGAAAAGGAGGCTTTTGAAGAAGCTGAAAAGGAGAGGAAAGCTAGGGAGGATAGGGTAAGAATGAAGCATTATGATTTATGAATTATCTATATTCAGTTGGATCTAGTTACTTCTATGTTGATCATAATTTAAGGTCCTTGAGTCAAAAGAATAACCAAGAACTGTCTGCGTACAGGAAGGTCAAAAGGCAAAGGATGATGGTGACCGGCGCCGAAGGCGTCATAAAAAAGTATATTTTGTTTATCCTGCCACATAGCTCATGCACCTTTTTGTTTTTCCCACAAAGATCCTATTTATAAAATCTTCGTCATGGTTCCTTGGTTTTTTCAAAGTATCACTGTATCTTGAATGCTTCATGGCACATATTACAGAAACCAAAAAACATAAAGACATTATACTAGCCAAATGTACAAGTATATTCTTCTGGACTGATGTGTGATGTGTTTTACATTTGTAGTGCTAGAGGCTTGCATTTATGTGTTGATTTGTGATGTGCTCTTGTGCTAGAGGCACATATCATTGCCTAAAATGTAATGCATTAACAGGTTCTAAATACATACATGCATGGTACACTAACTCTTCTTCCTTTTATATGCTTACAGCACTACAGAGATCACTGGGATGACTACCATGTAAGTTAGAAATCAGAATCCAGCTTTGTTTTTCTTTTCAATGAAAGAAATGCAGCTTCTATCTTTATGAACTTCCTAGCTGGGTTATAACAAGTGGCTTATTTACTATGTTGATTTCATGTTCAGGATGAGCTATGAAGTCCCCAAAGTATTGCATTCCTCAAAGCATAGGCTGGAAGTTGCTTTGGACATTGTGGATACTTTTCAATAATAATTGATTCGACAGGCTAGAACAACCTGAAGTGTTTCTTGCTATGTGCCAAAAAAATTATTCAACTACGGGATTGAGATGTAACGGACAAAACTGAAGATGTTTTCTGCTTCCTGTGCAACAGCAGGAGATTCCAACGAAAACTTGGCTCTGGCACTGAAATAGGGTGGACGAGGGTCTGTTTGTTATGTCTGTAACACGGTGCTGGCCATGTGCTAGCTTTGTAATCTCAAAACATTGTCTTTGCCTGAATAATGTAAGTTGACCATACGATGATTCCAAAATCTACTGCATACCAAGTTACGAAGTGTTGTAGCTGAGGAACACTTAATGTTCATATATATACTTCTATCTTCAAAAGGATACGATGCACTTGGTTTATATCATCACCGCTGCATAAATGAACACATAGGTTTAGCCTTCCTTGGCCAGGATATGGAAGAAAGGCCTGAACACACAATTTCTAACACCCTTTTCTATTGTGCACTAGGGCCGACTTGCTGTTTTAAGTAAAATATAATTATATTAGAACTAGTTGATTAGTGCCTCGAGAACAGTATCAGATTTCCTAGATACATTGAGACAACGAGTGTACAGGAAACAGTGCATGAACATGTCCGTTCGTGCAACCTACAGCATGTAGCAAAAGCATTGGTACTGTTCGGAACAGCTTGCTGTTGCAGCTGTGTCTGCAATTCCTCAACTGCAACCTACACCTTGTACTTGGCTTTCTAGTTTGAATCTTGGTATTAGCACACATAATAAAACATGCATGAAAAGGGCAGCACTGAACGAATTCAGTTAGAAAAACTCTCTTTACATGGTAACTATGCAACTAGCGCAAAGAATTCATTTCTATTCAAAATGAACATGCATCTGAAAGGCCAGATGAAGAATTCCTTTACACAGCAATGATTAAAGACATCAGCGACACCAGAATTTCAAAACTGAATACATAGCATTGTGTCGACGTGATACAGTTTTCAGAACAAAACAAGATTCGCCGAGCATTTCCTCTCTGTGTGTTATACAATGTCTGCAACTCTTCTCCCAGGCAAGACATCCATTTGCAGAGTTCTGCCGTTTCTGGGGGCAACCACACCAACAGAAGGCAGCGAGGGGTCTGTCACTGGCTCGATCTCAATGAAACTCAACTCCATAGATCCTGTGCGCTTCAAGCTCAAGACAAATACAAGTGCAATCCAGCCGAGCATGGTGATTGCCCAGTAGTTGTTCATCCCATGAATCAGACCCCAGGCAATTGAGTACCCAACAATTATCCCGGACAAGTGGCCAATGAAACTAGCCTGTGGCACCATGATTGATGTGAATATCAGTGACTCAAATGGCGCAAAGCTGATGGGCAGTGAGAGAACCCCAAAGAGATTCAGCTTTGACGACGGTTGCTTGGCAGCCAGAATTGTCATCCAGCCAAACACAACGCATGAGTAGCCAACCGCAGTGACCCTCCTGAAGTACTCCACCTTGAACCTCTGAATCATCATGTGGTAGAACCCGAGGACCAGCAATCCGGACAGCACGACGAGAACGAGCGTGTAGTGCAGGTAGTACTCGACGCCGAGCCCGATCTGCCCCAGCTGCTCGACGACGCCGAGGCTCCACAGCGCGCTCATGTTGAACACCAGGTGGACCACGCTGATGTGCGAGAAGGCGGAGGTGATGATCCGCCAGTACTGCCCGCCGTCCACGGTGGCCTCGTAGCTCAGCCCGACGTCCGCGTACCCGATGCCCCGCTTCTGGATGAGCCACCAGATCAGAGAGCAGATGCCGATGACGCTGCTGCTCGCCGGCTTCTCCAGTATCTCGTAGATCAGCGGTTTCCCCATATTTCCAAGACAAAGCTTCACGAGACTTGATCCTTCGGTTGACTGAGATCTCCTTGCTCGGGGAATGGTGGATCGGGGCCAAATGATCCAGGGATTCGCAGGCTGCGTGTGGATTGGGGGGGCAGGGGCGCTCACTGAGGTGGGGTTGTGGTGATTTGAATTGCAAAATTTGTTGGGTTTTGCGATGGATCAATGGCTCTCACCTCGGAATTTTGGAGGGATTCGAGTAGCTTCTCGGCCGGGCGCGTCCGATGCCTAGACTCTTCGAGCCGGGAATTTTGGGTTCTGTTGCTTTGCTTCGGGAGGGAGGGAGAGAGGATGGATGGTGTGTGTTTCCTAACTAGTGAAGGACTAAACTGCAAAACAGTCGTACTTTACGGTTTCTCTTCATCTCTTGCCGTACTATCCTGTATCTGCACGATACTGTGGAACCCTAGATTTCCTTAACCCCCGTTTGGATAGGTCCAGTGGCGACTCTAGCTGACAACATGTTCGGGGTCAGCTCCGTTACATGATCTTATTTTTTCTCGAACTTTACCGGTGTTTTGCTCAAGGCTCTGTAAATTTTATCCCCTCTAAATTTGCCCCTGAACAGGTGTTGGTTAAGTGCAGTAGGAAAATTGTAAGGTGGGTTTGGGATAGGAAACTACGAAGTTATCATTTCTTTCATGAGTTCACACTTCCATCAACATTGAATGCGCTCGACATGTTAAAGGATTTTTAAGCACCATCACACTAAGGGACCGCACTCTAGAAAGAGACTATTTGGTGTTGAGTTGTGATCAGAATTCAATTATATACAAGATAAAGGCTAACTTTTAACGGAGTGAAGCGAGGCCCGTCGCGGGGAGGCTTGAGCCGAAGCGAAGCGGAGTCTGAAGTTAGCCCATCATGTTTTCTTCTTGCACCTGTGGGGCTTTTGGGGTGCCCCCCCCCTCCAGCGCTGGATCGATCGTCGCCTATTAGGGTTTTTCTATCTCTATATATACTTCATGTAAGCCGTTGTAAATCCCCAACGTTTGTAACCTCATCCGATACAGTGAAGATTTGCTAGCTGGTGCCCATGGGTGCCCGTGGTTTTTCTCTTCTTCCTTGGGAGGGTTTTCCACGTTAAAATCTCGTGTCCCCTGTGTTTGATCTACTGTTTTTCGTCGTTTATACTGCCTATTATTTCTAACAAGTGGTACCAGAGCTTGGTTTCACATTAGGGTTTCACGATGGCATCGATGAAGTTTGATCTACTGCTGCTGGATTACAAGACGAGATTTGCGCTGTAGCAAGTCAAGATGTGGGCGATTCTAGCACAATCTTCGGATCTTGATGAGGCGCTGGATGGTTTCGGAGGCAAAGGGCAGAAGTCATGGACCACTGAAGAGAAGCGGAAGGATCGTAAGGCTCTGTCTCTGATTCAACTTCATCTACATAATGATATTTTGCAAGAAGTGCTGCAGGAGAAAACTGCCGTAGAACTTTGGCTCAAGCTGGAATCGATCTGCATGTCCAAGGATCTAACCAGTAAGATACACGTGAAGATGAAGTTGTTCACGCACAAGCTGCAAAAAGGTGGTTCGGTGATGAACCACTTATCGATCTTTAAGGAGATCATTGCCGACCTAGTGTCGATGGAGGTAAAATATGATGATGAAGACTTAGCTCTTCTACCATTATGCTCACTGTCTAGTTCGTTTACAAATTTCTGAGATACCATACTATTAAGCCATGATGAACTAACCCTTGCAGAAGTATATGAGGCCCTCCAGACAAGGGAGAAGATGAAAGGTATGGTTCAGTCTGACGTGTCGTCCTCCAAGGGTGAAGTGTTGCAGGTTAGAGGCAGGCCCGAGCAGAAAACCTACAACAACAATAATAATCGAGACAAGAGCAAGAACGGTAAAGGTCGTTCGAAGTCCAGAGGCAGGGATAAGTTCTGCAGGTATTGTAAGAAAGATACTCATGTCATTGATGATTGTTAGAAGCTGCAGAATAAGGAGAAAAGAAACAGTACGTATAAACCAAAAAACAAATCCGATGGTGATGGTAAGGCCTCTGTTGTCTCCGCTGTTGATAATTCTGATTCAGGAGATGTTCTTGTTGTTTTTGCTGGTTGTGTTGCTGATCGTGATGAATGGATACTTGATTCTGCATGCTCGTTTCATATATGCTCTAACAGAGATTGGTTCAGTTCTTACGAGTCTGTGCAGAGTGGAGATGTTGTGCGTATGGGAGATAACAACCCACGTGAGATCATCGGCATTGGCTCCGTTCAGATCAAGATGCATGATGGCATGATACGCACACTAAAAGATATGAGACACATATCAGGGATGGTTAGAAATCTCATCTCCCTCAGCACACTTGATGCCGAGGGGTACAAACATTCTGGTTCAGGTGGAGTGTGTAAGGTATCAAAAGGCTCTCTCATTCATATGATATGTGATATGAATTCTGCAAAGTTATATTGTAACACCCTAGGTGTTTGTCACCAGTTAAGCAACGGGTTTGAGCTCAAACATGACATGTTAAGTGGTGATGAAGGTGTCAAGATCAAATCTACAAGAGTGAGCTTCAACTTAAACTTGGACAACGCACCTTTGCTTACATGTGGACCCTTGTTAAGATTATGCAAGAGTAAGGTTAAACATGCTCATTCCATGTATATTACATCAACATGCATCCATCTAGACCAGTGGAAAAGTTTCATAGAGTTTGGAATCAAGAAGTCACATAAAATGATAAGTTATAATCTTTCTTAGATTGCTTTATTAAGTGAATGGAATTATAGGTCGTCAAGCAAACCTTGCTATCTTGCCCAAACGACTCTAATTGAACTCTACAACAAAAGTCATGAAGGGTTTGTGTTGAGCAGATGTCAAGAAAATGCCTCAATTGGTCGAAAACCCTAATTCCAGGGTTAACGAGATGCTGCTTTGACCAAGATGAAGAATTGGTTCATGTACCAGATATGAAGTTTGACCTTTAATAAAAGTTGAAGTTTGAGTGGAGTAGAACAAACTTTGTTTTTGGACCAAGAGCTAGATCAGCTTGTAAGAAAGTCAAACCGAGGCTCAAACTTTGAATCAACCGCTGTTTTCAGTATTTAGAATTTTTCAAAGTCTGGAATTCATCGCCATCGACATTGGCATCTCACGTTCTTATAATTTTGTTAAGCAACTTGATTTGGTACCAAAATAAAAGTTGGAGTATACATTGTGGAGAAGGGCGTACAAAAGGAGGGCACTCGTTGGACCTTGTCTTGACCATCGATTTTTGAAGTTTGTTAATCGTTGTCAATGCGTTGACACTTGCTATTTGGACACTAATTATCCGCTGATCCAGAGCTCTAATGACTTGGCACCTTAAATAAGAACTATAGAGCGTCACGAGAGCAGCAGACTTTCTTTTGGGGCCATTGTCAAATTCGGCCCATAGACGTCCCAAGACGCGTTCCACGCCGGCCACTCTGTCGCCCGCCAGGTGTTCGTGGAAACGCCCCAAAGGATGCCGCGTGGCCTATGCGTGGCAACCATGCGTGAGCTCGCCCCCGCCATTGCCGACGCGTGTACCCACGCCCCAGCGCCTTGCGACGATGGGGAGGCGCTCTCTGCCCTCTCTCTGGCACTCTCTCTCACTCTCGGCCCTCTCTCTCGCTCTCGGCACCGTGCGCGCGCGCGTGCCAGAGCACGGACGCCATGGCCGCCGCCACCGAACTCCCTTGCCACCGCTGCTCCCTCTTCTGCAGACCCTCTAGCACCGCCACCAAGTATGCCTCCGGCTCCGCGATCGCCTCCCCTAACCCTAGGCGGATCTGACACTGTCGTTCAGGCCGCCTCCCTCGGCTACCGTGGCCAGGCAACCACGAGCTACTATGGGCCAAACCCGGGGCTAGGCACAGTCGTGGTTGGCCACTACGAGGTCAAGATCGCCCCTCTGGGTCAGCTGACACCCCTATCCAAATTACCGAATCGACCACTAGCCGGCCCCGACGTCCTCCTCTGCTCGGCTCGATTTGAAGAAGGACCGCGCACAGAAATAGAAGGTTTTCCAGGGGATTAAGTGAAGAAGCCGTGACTCAGAGGAATAGTGCCAGAAAGGATATGTTTGTTCGAGTCTAATTTGTGGAAACTGTAGGGTCCCCGATGCAAGATTTACATTTCTTTTCTTTGATTTTTGCAGATTTGGATGATCAACTTTGAAAATTCGTAGTAATTAGTAGAAAAATTGTAAAATAGTAAATGAGGATTTTTTTTGGAATCCTTGTGAAATTATATATGAAGTAGATCTATAATATGGCATGTTTTAGTTTAAATATTTTGCTGTAAAAATAGATTCATGCAGTTAGGTTTTTAATACTAGTTGTGTCTTATCTTTTTCATAACTACAGTTCTTACGCTCAAATAAATGTGAACTTTTTATGGACTACTACTCAGGTGATGGTTGATGTCTGGTAAAAATTTCAGGATTTTAGGCTTGATATTTTAAGACCTATAAAAATAACAATTGCCCTATGTTGCTTTGCTCCTATTCTGAATAGGCCTGCATGTTTGATTTTATTGGTTCAGTTAAGTTATGAATCATGACTTAATGACAATACATGAGTTGTAGTACTTTTCTTAAGCTTTTAAAAAAGATAAATATCATAATTTTTTGTTAAGTAGATTCTTAGTTATTGTTGCTTAAATTTTTGTGGTTGTTTCTGCCCAAACCCAGATAGGGATGCTTTATTGGTACTGTGGGGCATTTTTAATAGTTCAATTAGCTCTAGGTGTTTATAACAATGTTGTTTAGAATTTGCTAATCTTTCTAAAAAGTCTAGAATCACATTTATTGTATATGTAGAACTCTAGTTATAGTTGTTTAAAGTAGCATGTCAGATTCTGTACATGTGTTGGATAGAGATGCATTCATTGGATTAATTGACCTTGTTAGCTGTAGAATCATCTTAAGATGATAATAATAAAGTTGTAGGTAACTTCATAAGCTTTTTAAAAGTTATGATTCATGTTTGTTGAAGGTCTAGAACTCCAGTTATGTTTCTCCTGAAATTCCTATCGAAAATTCCTATCGCTTTCACACTCACAACTGCTTGGGCTGCATGTGCGTTTTTATTGTGCAATTATTTTTGTGGTGTAAATGATGTTTGCTGTGGTTGTGGTGAATACCAAAGTTGTAGGTAACTTAATAATCTAGCTTATGTTAAATTTTCATGACCATAAGCCTGATAATTTAGGATCTATAGATTTTATAATTTCCCTATCAGGTTTTGCATGATCTCTGTATAGATCTGAATGATTGTGTTGTTTGACCCAACTAAGCTTTGAATCATGTCTTGGAGATAATAGAAGAAGTGTAGAGATTTTCCTGAGCTTTCCAAATTGTTAAAGATCACTCCTTTTGGTAGTAGAAATCTTCAGTTATAAGCTTAAGAAGTTGTATGGCAGAATCTGTCCAAGTCTGGACAGAGGTACCCAATTGTGCTTGATTGACCTTATTAATTGTGGAATTGTCTGGTGATGATAATAAAAATGTTGTAGGAAATTTCATTTTTTTTATAGAAAGTCTAGGGTCACCCTTGTTGGAAGCTTATATCTCTAGTTATGGATAAAACACGTGACTGTTGTGCTGCTGTCTAGATTTCTATACATGTGCTAAGTGATTGTTTTAGTTTGCTCTTGTTTTGGCTAAACATGTTGGTTAATTCTTGATCGATACATGTGTGCAATATCTAAACTTAAGTTCACTTGTGTGCCATGCCTAATATGCTTGCTATCCCTCTATAATAGGTTGTGTGATGTTTAGTTAAATAACTCTAGGTGCCTGTCTTGCATGATCTTATGTTTGCCTTGAATGCTATTATGTGATGCATCTCGTATTACCATTCTTCATATTCATGCACTTGCATCTTGCATCTCATCTAGGTACACTAGATGAACCACGTGAAGGACATGATGTTGCAGCCGAACCCGAAGATGGTGTATGGTGGACCTATCCCGAAGATGGAAGGACTGGAAAATTGCTAGGATGGGAGATACTCACCAAGCGAGTGTCACCTAACAAACACTAACCTAGTGTTGGATTTTAGGCAAGCCCCGGAGTATTCTAAGTCTCTCAGTGTTTTACAAAATATTACTTGAGTCCTTTATGGTTGATGCATTAGGTTATAAGAGTTGACTGGAAACACTTGATGTATGGAACTACCTTGTCCAGATACATATACCTTTAACCATGTGTAGGTCCAGGATCGAATATATGCTTAGCCATGCTTAGACTGGTAGAAGTCGGGTGATTTCCTGTCACCTGCGAGATATAGGTGGATACCGAAGCACGGTTGGCTATATTTGCTATCGTGGAAAAGAACCATGGGGTAATGTAAATAGAGACCGGGCGGGATATCGATAGAGAAGCAACAAGACATGGAGGTCTTGGGTGTGGATCTATCCCCGTCTATATCAATTAAGGACCGTCTCGTTGTTGGCACTTCGACAAGATTGAACGCATGCCTATCACTTAGCTAGCCGATAACTCGTTCTAACCACGGCCGAGTAGCTCAACTCAGGCTGGGCCCTACTTGTAAGAGTGCACACTCTGGATGGTAGTAAGGATGTGCGGGGAGCAGATCAATAAACCATGGGCAAGCATGACCTGAGTGACCTGGTCTGGGACCATGGGCAGGCATGGCTTGAGCGACCTAGCTACCGTCAGTCCCTGATTGTGTGGCACTGGGCGAACCCACGAAATGTGGACCTGAGTTATACCAAATGTGACCTAAGGCGACTAATGATCTGGTCTGTCTGGGTTTGTGTTAGGAATAAATTCTCAGCTGGTTGAAATCGATTCGAATCGCCGTCTCTCCCGGATAGTGAGAAACTTGGCTAGCTCCAACATCGTAATAAGTGTATTATGGAATGTGATGGTTCGGATAAATATGAAATTACTACACCGACTATGGTTACTATTGTATGCTATCAAATGATATACCACATGTTTAGCACAGGTTAGTTGCTAATCTAGAGATGAATAGCTATATTTAACTTGATGACCAAAGTATAATTGTACAACTGAATTAGTTGTGTTTTATGCAAAATGTTGTCAAACTAGCTCCACTTATAAAGCCTTACATGATCCTTGGAGTCATTTTATTTTTGGTTTATGATGGGTAAGTCTAGATGAGTACATTCGAGTACTTAGGGTTTATCCCACCATGTTGTAGGTGAAGTTTTGGCCTGCTGAAGATGGTGGCTAACCACCGATGGGCTCGGTGACTCTATATTTATTTCTCATCTATATGTTTTTATCAGAGGATGTCACTTATGCTAGCAATGTATTTGGAACTTATATTAATGTAATCATTCGAAAGCTATGTTGTTTTCACTAATCGGTTTTGAAACCCAAACTTGTACTATTATTTGTGAACTCAGTTGTAATATTATTTCCGCTGCAACTCTATATATGTGATGTGTATTTGCTTAATCACGCGATCTTGGTTGTGATGTTGATTTACCGAGGTCCTTCGGGACACTCGACGGACTATCGGGTTTATATAAGTGAAAGTGCGCGCGTGTCAACGTGTTAGCGGGACCGCCGTGATTTTGATCTTGTATAAATTGGACGGTCTCTCACACATATATGTTCTTAGAGGAAGTACTTTACATGGTTCTGTCACTGCTGCTACTGTTTCTAATGATGAACCAAGTAAGACTAGTCTCTAGCATATGCGTCTTAGGCATATGAGTGAACTTGGTATGGCAGAATTGATCAAGAGAGACCTGCTGGATGGCTGCATTGTGGGTAAGATAAAGTTCTGTGAGCACTATGTTTTTGATAAGCACAAGAGGGTAAAATTCAATGCATCTGTTCATACCACCAAAGGTACACTTGATTATGTACATGCTGATTTGTGGGGGCCGTCTCGTAAGCCCTCTTATGGTGGTGCTCGTTACATGCTTACCATTATTGATGATTACTCTAGAAAAGTATGGCCTTATTTTCTAAAAATAAAGATGATACTTTTGCTGATTTTAAAGAGTGGAAAGTTATGATAGAAAGGCAAACCGAAAAGAATGTAAAATTGCTTCAGATCGACAATGGCGGTGAATTACGCTCGGATGCTTTTAATGATTACTGCAGGGAAAAAAGGCATTGTCCGCACCACACCATCCCGCATACTCCTCAAAGAAAATAGTGTGGTCGAGCGCATGAACCGAACCATCATCTCGAGGGCTCGTTGCATGTTGTCCAATGCTCGTATGAATGGCATTTTTGGGTCGAGGTCGCTAACACCGCTTTGTACTTGATCAACCGGTCACCTTCTATCCCACTTAATAAGAAAACTCTCATTGAGGTATGGTCTGGTATGTCTGCTGATTATTCACAGTTGAGAGTTTTCGGTTGCACTGCTTATGCTCATGTTGATATTAGAAAGCTAGAACCTAGAGCCATTAAGTGTCTGTTTCTTGGTTATGGTTCTGGAGTTAAAGGATATAAGTTATGGAATCCTGAAACTAAAAAGACTTTCATGAGCAGGAGCGTTATTTTCAATGAATCTATTATGTTTAATGACAGCTTGTCCACAGATGTTTCTCCAGTTGGTTCTGACGAGGAGCAGCAACATTTTAGCGTGCAGGTGGAGCACGTAGATGATCAGAAAACTGAAATTGTTGATAATGATGTTCATGATATTGTTCATCACTCACCTCCTGTTTTGCAACCTCAAAATTAGTCTATTGCAGATCGCAGAACAAAGAGGAATTATGAACCTTGTCCATGTTTAATTGAGGAATGTGATATGGTTTGTTATGCCTTTAGTTGTGCTGAACATGTGGAGAACATTCATGAGCCGGCTACGTACACTGGAGCTGTTGTTTCTAGTGATCGCGAGAAGTGGATTTCCGCCATGCAAGAGGAGATGCAGTCACTCGAGAAAAATGGCACATGTGATGTTGTGCGCTTGCCTAAACAAAAGAAGGTCGTTCATTGCAAATGGATCTTCAAGAGAAAGGAGGGTTTATCTTCCAGTGAGCCTCCAAGATTTAAGGCAAGGTTAGTAGTAAAAGGTTTCAGTCAGATTCCTGGTGTTGATTATAATGATGTGTTCTCTCCAGTTGTAAAGCATAGTTCAATTCGTATATTTTTCGATATTGTTGCTATGTGAGATCTTGAGCTTGAGTAGTTAGATGTAAAGACTGCGTTTCTACATGGAGAGCTCGAGGAGGAGATATACATGGACCAGCCAGAAGGGTTCATAGTACCTGGTAAGGAGGATCATGTTTACAAATTAAAGAGGTCCTTATATGGTTTGAAACAGTCTCCTCGTCAATGGTATAAAAGGTTTGATTCTTTTATGATATCACATGGTTTTAAGAGGTCTGAATTTGATAGTTGTGTGTACATTAAATTTGTTGATGGATCACCTATATACTTGTTGTTATATGCTGATGATATGTTGATTGCTGCCAAGAGCAAGAAAGAAATCACTACATTGAAGAAACTGTTGAGTAGTGAGTTTGAGATGAAGGATCTTGGTGCTACTAAAAAATTCTAGGTATGGAGATTACAAAAGACAAAAATTCTGGTTTGTTATTTCTTAGTCAGCAAAGTTACATTAAGAAAGTTCTTCACCGTTTCAACATGCATGATGCAAAGTCTGTTAGCACTCCTATTGCTCCTCATTTTAAATTATTAGCTTTACAATGTGCTAGTACGGATGAGAATTTTGAGTACATATCAAGAGTTTCATATTCTAGTGTTGTTGGTTCTTTGATGTATGCCATGGTTTGCTCTCGTCCTAATTTATCATATGCTATGAGTTTGGTTAGTAGATACATGGCTAATCTTGGTAAAGAACATTGGAAGGTTGTTCAAAGGATTTTCGAGATACCTTCTGTGGCATAACAAATGCTTGTTTAAAGTTTGGCAAGACCGATAAGGGACTCACCGCTACGTGGATTCATATTTTGCTACCGATTTGGATAAGAGGATATATCTCAAAGTTATGTGTTCACTATTGGTGGTTGTGTTTGTGAGTTGGAGGGCAACATTGTGGCCGTTGTTGCCCTCTACCACCAAGTAGAATACATGGTCATTGCTAAAGCATGTAAAGAATCGGTTTGGTTGAAAGGTTTGTTTGCTTGAGCTTTGTGGAGATGATTCTTGCATTAATTTATTTTGTGACAACAAAAGTGCTATATGTTTCACTAAAGATCGATGTTCCATGAGAGAACGAAGCACATTGATGTTAAATACCATTATGTTCGTGATGTTGCCGCGCAAAGGTAAGTCGAGGGTATGCAAGATAGGCACACATGATAATCCTGCGATATGTTGACAAAGCTGGTTCCTATTGCTAAGTTTGAGCTTTGCTCAAGCTTAGTTGGTATAACTGCTTTAGCCCAAGAGGCTATTTGGCACCGGAAGTATTTCTTTATTGTTTTCGTGGTGAAGGTTCGTTTTATGCTACAAGAAGGAATTTGTCTCAAGGTGGAGTTTGTTGAGTTGTGATCCGAATTCAGTTATGTACAAGATAAAGGCTAACTTCGACGGAGCAAAGCGAGACCCGTCAGCAGGAGGCTTGGGCCGGAAGCGCGAGTCTAAAGTTAGCCCATCATGTTTTCCTCACCGCACCTGTATGGGGGGTGCGTGGGGCGGCCCCCCAGCATGGATCATCGCCTATTAGGGTTTTTTCATCTCTATATATACTTCCTGTAAGCCGTCGTCTTGGGATAAGAAAAGTTGTAAATCCTCGACGTTTGTAACCTCACCCGATATAGTGAAGATTTGTTGGCTGGTGCCCGTGGTTTTTCCTTCTTCCTTGGGAGGGTTTTCCACGTTAAAATCTCGTGTCCTCTCGTGTTTGATCTATCGTTCTTCGTCGTTTATATTGCCTATCGTTTCTAACATTTGGGGCACCTACCAAGGTTGAATTAATCATCCCTAGGCATTGTTTGTCTACAATTGTTGTTTAGTCTGCTTTAATAACGCTTAAATGCTTTGTGTTTTCTAATTTAATTTGGCATTTATCCCATATATATAATGACTATTTTGTCCATGTGGCTTGCCATTTAGCCTGGATAATGGGCATGGCTAAACAGTATGGATGTCAAAAAAACCCAAAGCGACTTATAATTTAGAATGGAGGGGGTAGGTGTCAACTATTAACCGTTTAGTGGCTAGAAAATCATTGCCTCTAATAAGTAATCGATGTGGAGGTAAAAATTGAGAAACAATTTAGAGTTTGGAACAATCATGTAAGGAAAAAATAAAAAATAGTAGGTTGAATTGTTGAATGTGTTCGACTGCATGTTTTGTTCCATCAGCCTACACCCTCATTACTATCTTTATGGTTGGCATGGATTGAATTGAGTATCTGGATAATCCCTAACATAACTCAATCAAATATTCCCAGATATATGAGTGTCATATCCAACAAGACTCGCACGCAAACGCATAAACATGCCATATTTAAATTACATTTAGCAAAAACTTTGGAAAATACAAATAGAACACGGAATCTAACATCAAGTTCATGAGGTGTGAGCTTACAATGGGGGCCTTGTGAGGTGTATAGCACAACAAAGGTGACATGCAGAGAAACAAAGTATTGGTCTAAAGTCTAAACCTTAAACATAGCCAATGAAGGCCTCATGCTACGTGGAGCTCAGTTTAAAGAGGAGACGTTTGATACACTACGTATGGCCTAAGATGGAACACCTATTACATTGGTGATGGGTGGTCGATGGCAAGTACTACCTCTATCCCTAAAAGATACAACTATGGATTACGTGTCAATTAAAATACTTCATATTTATCAAGTTTCTAGTAAATAATATTCACATTTATGGTTCCAAATCAATTTATTACGAAAATACATTTCATAATTAATCTAATGATATTTATTTATATTATAAATATTTATATCATTTTAATTTATAATTAAACATGACACTATTTCAAAATTGCATTCTTCCTAGGACACAGGAGGGTTAATGAAATTGGCAACGCAAATGGATACGGTGGTGGACGTTGCCAAAGACAAAGGTGCTCGATAAGTGAGGATACCTGGGTCTGGACTCCGCCTCTAGCAAGCTGAACTGCTATACAAAATTTTGAATCTAGTTCTAGTCAGACCCTGCATACGCTGTAGGTTACTGTACAAAATCAAATGAATCAGCTCAAAGATCAAATAAACGCGAAAACGAACCGAATCAATGATGATATATCAAATCAATGCCACGTTCGTTTGGCTAATAAGTCATGGCTGAAAGTATCGTTGGCTGATATGTTATGAGAGAAAAATACTACTCAATCTATCCTAAATTGTAAGACATTTGACTTTTTTGACACCAAGTTTGATCACTCGTCTTATTCAAAAAATTGTGTAAAATATCACTTCTTTCATCGTGGTTTGGTTTATTAATAAAAATTCTTCAAGAATGACTTAAATTTAACTATATTTGTACAATTTTTTTAAATAAGACGAGTGGTCAAACTTAAAGCTAAAAAAGTCAAACGTCTTGCAATTTAAGATAGAGGAAGTATTTATTAGCCGAAAAAATACGATTTACAAGCCAAACCAAGCGGGCGCAGATAAAGAAATATCTCAACGAAGACAAATCATCTACGCTCACACAAACACCAAGAAGTACTACTATATACTAGTACAGTCTACAGAAGTACACAGTATATATAGGAGTAGTCGAGAAGAGCATAATACTGTACGTGTACTGTGTACATGAATCGGCGCCCCTCACGCACCCAGACACACGCGCACCGAACCATCAATGGCTGGATCTGGCGGTCCTCCAGAGCCTGACCTCGAGAACAACCGAGGCGAGGACCCAGACCGCGAGGAAGATGCCGTAGAACGCGCTGAGCGCGGCGGCCTCGTGCGCGATGGACAACCCGATGAAGACGTTGGCAATGGCGCAGGCCACCGCGGCGCGGCCGACGTAGTGATGGTACCAGTTCCAGTACCGCCTCACCTTTGACCCCTTGTCCGGCCGCGCCAGGAACGCCAGCACCTGGAGGCAGCCGAAGACGAGGACGGTGATGCCCAACGCCTGGTGGCTGTCGGCGCCGGGCACGTCGTCGTCGAGCTTGAACCCGGCGACGACGCCGACGGTACCGAGCACGAACCCGACCCCTGCACGGAGACGTGCGCGTAGAACCAGAACGGGTCGTGGCGCTTGAAGTAGCGCGCCAGCGCGACGCCGACCGGCATGAGCACGCCCCACCCGAGCCCGGCCATCGCGCCGTGCCACTTTTTCGTGTTGAACGCGCCGGCGCCGGACGCGCTGGACGCGACGCCGGTGGCGTAGTCGACGGCGGCGGAGGCGTAGCTGCGGTGCCGCACGAGGTAGTTGTTCGAGAGCTGCGCGCCCGAGGGGCCGACGGCGTAGATGAGGTAGGGCGGCGGCGGCTGCGCGGCGGTGAACTGGAAGGCGAGGTAGAGGCGGGACGACTGCGCCACCAGAAGCGTGGTGCCCGGGACCAGCGCCAGGCTGCCCTGATCCGGCGGGCATCTCCTGGGGCTCGTGCCGCCCAGCCGGTACTGCTTGGCCACCCCGGACCCGCTGGCCGTCGTCCACCCGGCCACCGCGCTGCTCCCCACCATGGCCCCGTCCGACGAGAACCCCACCGAGATGTAGCCGCCACCGTCCGGCGCCGACAGCACGAAGCTCCACGTGTTGTTCTGCCCGCTCTTCCCGTACTGCATGCAATTGCAAGCGCGCTCTCGTCAATAATCAGTACTACGTACTGCTCGGGCCGTGGCCGTTGCACACAGCGGCAATGAAAACATGTACAAGCGGTACAAGTGTATATGTAACTGACGTACGCGCACGATGAAGCCTTCGGAGGTCCATGCGTCGAAGCAGGTGAGGTTAGAGGTGCCGAAGGGGATGAGGTGGCTGACGGCGGCGAGGCCGGTGATGCTGGTGCACGAGTCGGCCGTCTGAGACCTCGCGACGGAGCTGCACAAGCAGCATAGCAGCAGCAGGAGCAGTGCCCTGCTAATGCTGGGAGAACAAGACGACCTTGGCTTCATGTCTCTGTGTCTGTGTGTATCTGATCTGTCACCTCTCTGCCAGTTGCGTTGGCTCGTCTGCAGGCGTGTGAGGATAACTGTGGGCTGCGGTGGGAGGGGAGACTGCAGCGGGAATGCCCGAGCTGTGGTTTCCTGATAAAAACGGAGGTGCAGATATATATACATATACCAAGCCGGCCGTTGGAACGTGAGGCCTGTCGAAATGTGAGCTTGCTTCGACGAAGAAACGCGTGGCAGTTGAGCGGTGGCAATTGCCGTACACAAATGTAGCGTCACCTTACAGCCGGTTCGCTTGCTTTCAAACGATCGATCATAAATTTCTAATGGAAATAGTGTTTTCTCTCTCACACCAAACCAGCCAAGTGATAAATAATCCACGTACGATACGGCCTCCCGAACAGATTGTTAGTTGTTGACCTTGGAAACTGGTTTATTTTTGCGTAAATCTTTTAGTTGGTGGTTTAGCCACACTTCACCTTTTAATTACATACATGGACATACATAAGTACTTAGAAGAACGTTTATAGACATATATATAAAACTGCAAACAACGGGCAACTCTGGTGTCTACGGATTGTACTAACCTTCTAGACATTCTGATCTGTACACATTCTACTCGATGACACAACCTGCACATTGACCTGGCAAACTTTGGTTGCATGCAGGCAACATACATACACGCACTGCGTATACCTTTTTATCCTCTATCTGTGTCTCCTGCTGGTGCGACTGGCTTGTGCCATATCTCTACTAATAACCAAGCTAAAATTTGGCATAGTGATCACCAAATTGGTGGCCATGAATTTTGTCAACTTTGGCTGCCAAAGTGTACTAAGGTGGCCAAAGAAAGAGGACACTAAATTTGCCATGCATCCAACCAAATGATAGCCAAAATTGAACTAAAATTTGGCCTGGCTAGCGTAGACACTGAACCAAACGCACTCAAGTTGCAAATGATTCACAGAGGAGAGATGCATGGTCACTTGGTCAGGTCGAAAGAGGCCACGTTTGCCCAACTTCCAGCGGACGCGTTCGTTGGATACGCGCATCTCCAATCGCTCCATAGTATAGTACGACGGCCGCGTGGAGGCCACACGCATTACTGTACACCGACAGACAACCGCAGGAGATAGGGTTTTCGTGGTTTGATAAGCTTGAGCCCTAGAAGGTTCCAGGCCGCGCAATATTAAAACCCTCGTTTACCATTTGATTAGTGCTAGCTACTGGGGTGGGGGCCACTACATACAATGGGCACGGGATATCGGGTATTTTTTGGTGGTGCATGCAAGTGCAAAGGTGCCATCTGCCTATCTGCTTTGGATCTGCCCGGGCCCCGGGGCACTGAACCTGCCCGTGAACCTGCTTTGGGTCGTGGCGTCGTCGGTCGTCGTCTGGAGTCTGGACTCGACCAAAACAAAAGGACCAGCAAACCAAAAGCACTTGTCCTGCAAGTGGTGTGGCCTGTGTAGCGGGCGTGTGGCGACCACGCGCCTTGCCGTGTCAGTCAAACCTTGCTGGACAGTCACTGATCGCGATGGAAACCTCCATCTCTTAACTTTATTATTGATTATTGATTTTTTTTTCGAAATATGGCCCGGTTGGTAAAACATTCTTCTACCGGGAATAAAAGTGTCGTGTCCTGGCACCCTGTTCATACACTGTAGCGCAAGCTAAGCAAAGCCCTTCAGAGATATCTTCATCGGCTTTTCATTTGCCTAGTTGATTTTTGAGGGATAGAGAATAATGGCTCAATGCAATAATGTATGTACAGTGCCTAGACCAATATGATAGAGTTTCTAAGATCAAACAACACTAAGATATTTAGACAGTGATGCTTCAGCCGTACCATTTCAACAAAATAACAGTATTTTTCTCTCTCTAAACAAATCAACATTAACATCAACCATTTTTCTAGCCAGCCAAGCAGAGCCTTAGGAAAAAGTAGCATGGTATTAAACTCTAGGCGACGAGTAGCCTGAACTAAATCTAACTTCACTGAAAATAAGCATAGACGCGCAGCATCTTTGACTTTTTTAGCATTAAGGCTTGATCAGGTTTGTAGCCGCTGATTTTCCATTAGCGGCCCACGGTTTTTACCCACTTGATATGTACTCCGTAGTACGTAGTACGGAATACTATATAACACACTGCCACGCGTCGAGCGCCGTGCTTCGCTACGCGGCGCACGCTACATTCTGAAGTTGACCTGGACCAGGGGCCATCATCTGTGTGTACCGTGTTACTTTAGTCACCGTCATCACAGCAAATGTCACACACCTGGATTATCCCCTTTATCTATTTATCTAAGGGCGCAAACTTGAAGCGACGAGTAACCTAGCAATCCAGGAAAAAGTCTACTAAACACTCTAAATTATTGGTAGTTGCATTATCTGCTTTGTTCCCTCACCTATAAAACTAGCTATTTTTTCTTAAACTATTGAAAATTGTCTAAATAATCCCCTAAATCGGTTTTGAAAGCGGTTTCGCTGACGTGGAATATCAAAAAGTTTACTTATCAAGGGTTGATTATATTTTTTGCGAATTACACAAATACAGACGTAGACGCTTAACATGCACGCACACTCACCCCTATGAACACACGTATACAAACCCTACCCCTATGAACACATCCGAAAGACTGTGCCCGCACATCTCGAGATTGACGAAGTCACCACAGGCATCTTGCTGTCGACGTGACGGTGCTGGCACGTCTCGAGATTGACGAAGTCACAACATGCGTCTCGTTGTCGACGTCGCCTACCACTAAAAGCACAACTCGTTAAATCCTGGAATAAATCCAGGAAAATACGAGTACCCGTGCTAAGTCGAAGACTTGAACCCGGGTGAGCAGGTTCTACCACAAAGAACCAAACCAACTGAGCTACCCGGGTGAGCAAATTCCACCACAAGAACCTAACCAACTGAGGTAGGCTCAGTTCGCAAGGGTTGATTGTACCCTTAATGCATAATGTTCAAATGACCCTCCGGATGGTGTTGTACTTATAGAGCCGTTTGGACACTGTATTACACCACACTGGCCTAAGCATCTTGCAGTTCATGACAATTCGTGTAGTTCTGATCAAGATTTAATAGAATTTTACCAAATTCAGAATGTCTCATAAATAAACAAATGCTTTACTATACCACAGTTTACATATACAAGCGTTTCAAAAAAAAACTGTATATATATACAAGTATGCCAATGAAACGAATGCCATATATCAATCATACAACTGTCACAGAGGCTCACGCTACACGTACGTACAGAACAAATAATGCCACGAGAAGAAATAATACAAGTGAATGTTAAACACAGACAAGGGCCCGTATGGCAACCATGCGTGCAAGTGCAATGGAAAGAACCTGGCAGACAAAAAGAAACGGAGATGCTAACCATCAACCGGTTGTTTTGGAGCTCCAAAACAACCGGATTCTGGGCCCTTGGATCGTGGAGAAGAAGGCCATCGACATGGACGCCGCAGGCGTGCTGGAGAACGACAACTGCATGCTGGGCAACGCCGCAGGGCTGGGTAGTGGGTACTGGTCCGCGACACCGCCGCCTCGTCCACGTACCTGCTCGACCCTCACGACCGCAGCGCGAGGATCCCGCTGCCGCATCTGCGGGAGGACGACCTCCCTTCCTTCTGCACCTGCGTGCTGTCCGACTATCCAGATCTCGCCGACCCAGGGAGCTGCCTTGTGCTCGATGATGACGCTGGACCTGGACGAACGAAGAAGCCTCCGGGCGGCTGCAACGCGGACTCGCAGTCGCAGAGTGCCGGCACGATCGAGCACGGCATCGGCTTTATCCTGCGGCGGCACTACATGCACCGAGCAAGCATGTTTTTTTTTTTGAAATTTGTGAAGAATTTATGGAGAATTTGACATATTTGACATGTATTTCTCTTATATTTGCAATTCATAAAAATAATTTGTAAATTTGGCTTATATTTATTTAAGATCTGTAATTATGCTCAAATTACCTCACTCTATCCAATAAATTACACCGAAGAAATCATTGTAAATATAGTAATAAGACGGTGTAAATATAGTCACAAGACAATGTAAGTGTATGTACAAAAATCTGGTTGTTGAGAAAGACTAAAACAACCGGTTATTGAACAGACAAACTCAAAAGAAAAGGTGTAGCTGCAGCGTGAAATCCTCTCTCCATCTACCGCGGAACAGATCAATGCCTACGTCTCCATTCCTCGAGCACAAGGTAAACCACCGCGAATACCCCAATGAAAATGCCATAGACGTAGCTCCACTCCTGCCGTTCATTGGCCAACGAGAGGCCGTAGAAGATGTTGGCGACGCCGAGCACGACGGCCGCCCTGCCCACGCTGTGGTGGTACCAGTTCCAATACCTCCTCGCCTTGGTCTCCTTGGCCGGCCTCGCCAGCACCGCCATCACCTGCAGACAGGCGCAGACGAGGACGGCGACGCCGATGGCCTTGTGGGTGGCGATGGGGCCCTCGTCGTCGTCGAGCCTGAAACCGGCGACCACGGCCAGCACGCCGAGCAGGAACCCGAGGCCCTGCGCGACGACGTGCGCGTAGAACCAGAACGGGTCGAACCGCTTGAAGAAGCGCGCGAGCGCCACGCCCGCCGGGACCAGCACGCCCCAGCTGACGAGCGCGAGCACGCCGTGCCGCCGCGCCGCGCTCAGGAAGGCGCCGCCCGAGCTGCTGGATGCTGAGTCTGAGGACGTGAGCCTCTGTCCCTTCCCTCGTCACCGTCGTCGCCACCGTCACCGCTGCCCTCTCCTGAGCGATTACTCTCGCCCTTCCCTTCGCCGCCCTCTCCGCCATCGTCGTCGTCGCCGCCTGCACACGCGACCCACATCCACCCACGCAAATCGATCAGAATGTCAGTAAAGAAACAGATCGGCGCCGCGCGCGTAGATTTAATTTAATCTTTTTTGGCGTACGTACCGCCGCCGGTAGCAGGGCTGCCCCGCCACTGGTGCCGCCGGACAGGCTGATGGTGCCGGTCGCCATGTCCTGGTGCTGCGGCAGCAGCCCGTTCGCCCCGGCAATGTGCCGCTAGGGCCCACGGCGTAGACGACGTCAGTGAGCGGCTGCCCGGCGAGCTGGAACGCGAGGTAGAGCCGGGACCCGTTGGACACGACGGTCGGCGCCGCGGCGCCGCTCGCGAGCGCCAGCTTGCCCTGGTCCGGCGGGCACGACCTGGATGTCGTCCCGCCGAGGTAGTACTGCCTCGCGGAGCCCGCCGGCGGCCGTCACCCACCCGGCCACGGCGCTGCTCCCGACCATCCGCCCCGTGGGCGAGAAGCCGATGGAGATGTAACCGCCGTTGTCCGGCGCCGACAGCACGAAGCTCCACGCGTTGCTCCCCGGCGCCGCCTTGCCGAACTGCACACAACGTTACGGTTACGGAGAGGAGTTAGCTACCTCACGATCCTGTATGCACCGACGACGCTGAGCCTGAGCGTACTCTTAGGACGAAGTCCTGCGAGGGCCATGCTTGGAAGCAGGTGAGGCCGGTGGTGTTGAAGGCGACGAGTCTGCCAAGGCTGAGGCCGTTGCTGCACGAGTCCGCCGAGCTCGCGGGGGGGCAGGTTCGAAGCGGCGAAGCAGAGCGCGATGAGGAAGACCGAGAAGAGAGGGAGTGGCGTGCATCGCTGGACCACGTGTTTGGGTGCTCTCATGGTTCTAGCCATGGTGCATGCACGGAGCACGGCGAGGCCTGCCGATCGATCAGGTCGGAAACTGTGGGCGCCGTACGCGGTACCGTGCACAGCGAGTGTCTGGATGGGTGCCGAGTGCCGACTGTGACGAGATAATGGCGCGTTTAAATAAGCAGATGGTGTGTGTTCTGCCTCGGCTAGAACATTGTTTATGTGAAGGTTAGGAATGGGTTGGTTGGTTGGTGCGTGCATGGTACTAAAATATGGTGGCTTCTAGTTCTCTTCTGAATAATGGAAATTCTGGTGATCGATCTGCTGAGGATTTCACCCTTTTTTTTTACAGTAGTAGACGACTTTCTACGGCTCCGCGTGCCTTAAACCTGACTTGATCCGTTTATTTTTTTATCTGGAACAGTATTTTTCTCTCACAAATTCCTTCAACATTCCTCCAAACCATCCAGATTCCTCCAAAATTTAGACAAACAAACAGGCGCTACGTGTTCTCCCACCTCCAGGCTCCAGACAAACATTCCTCGGGCCCCTTCCCTCGTCGCTTGGGGTGCGATTGGTTCCGCTCCAGGCTCAGCCTGGCTCGCATCCATCGGCCAGGCTCGTCGGCACCAGTCTCAGCGCATGCGAGTCACGTACGTTTGGTTGCTTGCTTCGCTGCAGCCAGGTCCGCAAGGGAAGTTGTTTGGTTGTCGCTCGTCCCGCATCGCTACTCTCTGCGTCGTCCATGCCATGTGAGCGCGCTCTCTGCGCCGCGCCGGCCAGGCCCGAAAGAAACGGAATCCATCTGCGTTTTCCTGGGAGCCTGGCTCGGCGAGGAATCTTGCATGCGGGCGGACGGGCTCTGGCAGACAGGCATCCCAACATGCGGTGAACTCCTGCACGCGGCCAACCAGGTCGGCAGGTCGGGCTGGCTTCTCCGAACCAATCACGCCCTTGGTGTCGTTCACTGCCGCCCATCCACTCACCATCACCAGGGGGCAGGCCTTCCACACTGTCGTATCTGATTGCCGCAATCCGTCTTAGTGCTAACCACTATGTAGAAGTATTTTTCTGTGGAAAAGCTAAACAGCTCGACATCACTCGGTTGTTTTAGCCGATTTCCACTATTTTACTGGCAACCCTCTCCCTCCCGTGCACGCACCCGCCGGAGACGAAGACGAGGACTGCATAGCTAGGGTTACGGCGACAGCATCAGAGACGATGAGCTCGCCGGCATCACTTGCCCAACTCCAGCGGGCTTAGGAGGAAGGGGCCCTGGGAGGCAGGCCAGCCAGACGGTGGGGACGACGTTCGGGCAGTTTAGGGACCCTGGCGGCGGCGGAGGCAGCCGGGCCAAGTTAGGGCGGGGTTGTCGCGGCGGTTCGCCAGAGTTGGAGAAGAAATCGGCGGCGGGATGAGGGAGGCTGCCAAGCAGGGGCAAGTTGGAGGTAGAAGAAACAATCAAGACCGTTGGATCTTCATCGTGGGGTTGAAAAAAAAATCGGGTGTTCAACTAGGGAAATCACGCGATTGTGGGATAGACTGATTTTTTTTTTTTTTTGCTGAGGTACCTAACCAGTCCTTGGAAAAGGATATAAGCCGGTGTGTGCTTTTTAAATCTAAATAAAAAATCGTGGCAGAAAATTGATAAATCTCCCGAACAGGAATTAGAAACTAGGGCCGCATTGGAGCCGAATCTTCAGTTTCCCTAACAAAAAAAACCTTTATTAGGCTTCTATAAGTTTATACTTAACAAAAAACATTTATTAGGCTTTAAAAAGTAAAAAAAACAATGTTTATTGGGCCTATAAGTTTCCGCTGTTCCGTCTCCACGGCCCACGAGCCCACGCGACGCGCAATGCTGGAATCATCCGACCCGACCCGAGATCGCTTTCCATTCCCATCGCTTCTCTTCTCCACACGAACTCCCTCGAGAGATAGAGCGAAGCACAAAGCAGGAAAAAAAAGAGGGACAAGAAGAAAAAAAATCATTCTCGTTTCGCTCTACGCTAGACCCCCGCCCGAATCGATGGAGATTAGGGCTCAGCCGACGAGCCTGAGGCTGGCGCCGCCGCCCGCCTCCGTCAGCTTCCGCCGGACCCCCCTGAGGACCTCCTTCCTTAAGGGAAACGGTGCGTGCTTCGATTTTGTATCCCACTTCTACATCCTTTCTGTCTTGTGGGGCGATTGGTACTTGAGGCTTTTGTGTGGAGAATCTATTAGGGCGCCTAACCCCCTTACCGCATGCTAATCTAGCGGAACATTTGTTGTCTGGGATGCTCAGTGCTGCTGCTGCTGCAATTGTTGAACCAGTGTGAACAGTGGCGACAGTTGGGCTGTGGGGGTCGGTGGCTCGGTGCCTTCGTTGTAATACATGATTTCAATAAATATGTTGTTATGATGAACTATTATGTGCAATATTAGTTCTGTAATGCCCACCTGTTTACCATCATGAGCAAAGATGAGCCTAAACTTGGTTGAATTTGTTATCGTACAGGTCTCTGTTTTTATATATAAATTGATAGCTTCCTGGCTTTATAGGCAAAAGTAAATTAGTTCCTCGCGACTTGTAATGTTTTGAGATTTACTCCGTAAAGTGGAAGCATCTTTTGCTTAGCTGAAGATATTGGTGAATGTTGATTCTCAATGCACTTCATGGTTGTCAACACCAGCACAGGATCCTATTATCTTTTTTCTGGAACATTTTCATCGTGTGTGATGCCTGTTTGATGAGACCACTGCTCGTGCTTTGATTTTATGTTGTCGCACTAAGTTGAATTCCATACATGATGGCTATGCTTCTACAGAATGTTTATGTTTGATTTTGCTCATGTTTGTAGTGCACAAGCTCATACTATTGAACAAAACTATTATGTTTCGGTTGAGAGCTTTACAAAGTGCAGAATGTAATGATATGGGTATGGTTTATAAATTTGTGTTTATGGCTACTAATTTACCCTTCCTTGCACTCCACAGTGTCACTTAAAGTTGTGCAATTACGACAATCAAATGTCAACAGATTTAAGTGCAATAGCATACGAAGTAACCTCTTTGATAGACTAACAAGGGTTGTCAGGGTGAGTGGTATTTTTTCCCTTCATTATGTTATTTGCAGTAACCAATTTTTCATATGTAATCTAAAGTTTTGTGCCCGTCGGTTTTTCTAGTCCTACGCAAATGCAGTTCTAAGTTCGTTTGAAGACCCTGAGAAGATTCTAGAGCAGGCAGTTCTGGAGATGAACGATGACTTGACAAAGATGAGGCAGGCTACTGCACAGGTTTGTTGTGACTGCCTTCAGTATAATTGACAGAGCATTTTCTTTCTTTCCAATAATGCCATAATGTTGTCTTTTCCAAGTTTCAACACATTTTCTTCTATCGTCTTTACAGTGTTATTGCATAAATAATTAACGCTGATGCTACATGCTAGTTTGTTTGCTGCCTCTTACATCAGATGCTTCTACTCTTTTGTTTCATCTCTTGTTATGCTTGTGAAACGGAAATTTGATTCTATTTTATGGTTTCTTGTTGTGGTAGGTCTTGGCGTCTCAAAAGCGGCTTGAGAATAAATACAAAGCTGCAGAACAAGCTTCTGCTGATTGGTATGGTTATGGTTTACGGCATCGAACTGAACTTCGACATATGTTTGCTTTGCAGTAATAAATGAATAATGTTTTTTTTGGTCAAAGTGTAGGTATCGGAGGGCTCAACTTGCTCTTCAAAAGGGTGACGAGGATCTTGCTCGCGAAGCCCTTAAGCGGCGTAAATCATATGCTGTATGTGTCATTGATGATGTGTAGTACAATGTGCTTGTTTTAGGTTTCCTTACCGCGCTGATTGGAATAGAATGTTACATATCTATGTGACATGTTGAATCAACATATCAAATTCCTAATATAGACTTACTGTTTGTGTGATTGTTTGCTTAGGATAATGCGAGCTCCTTAAGGTCCCAGCTTGATCAACAGAAGGGTGTAGTTGAAAATCTGATTTCGAACACCAAGGTGAGTTACTATTTTGAACTGCTAGAACGGTCTTGACCCTTTTCGATATCCTTATTATATTTGTTGGTACAGTTCTATGTGCTCATGTAGTGCACCAGGTGAAAAGTGCTCATTCAATATTGTTGAATTATTAACCACTGGAGTATGCCATTCTGTAGGTTCTTGAGAGCAAGATAGCAGAGGCCAAGCAGAAAAAGGATACCCTAAAAGCTCGTGCTCAATCAGCGAAGTATGCATTTATTATTTGTTGATTATTTTCCCCCTTTTTTGTGTTGTGTTGTGGATACACTGATAGATGTGGACTTTGTTTCACTTCAGGACTGCCACAAAAGTGAGTGAAATGTTGGGCAACGTGAATACAAGTAGCTCCCTTTCTGCGTTTGAGAAAATGGAGGAAAAAGGTACTCCCTTGATTTAATCTTTTTTCTGACTATCATTGTCCCTTATGTTTTATATATATGGTGATATTACTTTTTTTTTTTGCATGGCTGGTCTTCTGCCATTGGTTTTGGTTTAGGGCAGAGACATGCTCTAATACTCTATGTCGAGCATAGCTTGAAACTCTACCATCAAGGATTTACTATTATAAGTTTATAACACTGAGGTCAGCTAGAGCATACGCAATATACAGTTACAAGCTTCCATACTTCAGCAGCCAGAAATTCAATACAGAAGGTTGCTGCCATAATACCAATAGTCTAGCCCTAAAATAAGTTATTCCTCAATTGTCATCAAGTTGTTAGCTCCAATTACTTTTTTTTTTTTCTCGAACACGCAGGGAGAGCTGTGTCAATTAAGAAGAGAACAAAACACGGGGAAAGATCCCTTACAAAAAAAAAAAAAAAAAAAAACACCACACGAACCCACACCAGAACCTAGATATCACAAAACAACAAATGCACCCTTTACAACAATAGACCGACCATGACCACAAAATAAACACAACCATCCTCCGGCATAAGGGCCAAGAGAAAGTTCACACCTTGTGCTCCGGCCAAACCTCAAGATGTAAATCCTCCATAGCTAGCAACACAACTCGGGCCATGTTCCCAAAAAAAAAAACAGCTCGGGCCACACTATGGGAAACCCCATAAAAAACACACCTATTGCGATGCTTCCAGAGAGTTCAAGCACCTAGAATAACAAGGGAATAAGGACCTTTTGAATAAGGTCAACCGCCCCACTGGAAATTCTATCCCACCAGTCATCAAAACAAACATCTTCCATTTGAGGACAGAGGTGCTGCAGACCAACCCTTTGCAGGAGGGAGAACCAGAATTCTCAAGCAAACACGCATGACAACAACAGGTGGTTGATGTTTTCCTCGTCCTGGTCACAAATGGGGGCAAGTAGTAGGATGCTGAAGGCCATGTCTTGCAAGTCGATCAGCTGTCCAACTCTGTTTCTAGCAACCAATCACATGAAGAAATGGCACTTTCCAGGTGCCCAAGATTTCCAAATCCTCTCCCAAGGATGGAAGGCAATTATCCCCTGGAAAAATGCTGCATAAGCAGATTTTGCCAAATAGATGCCGTCACTAGAGAGTCACCAGATGAAAGAATCTTCGACATCCTACTGCAAGACTACTGTTGAAATGACATCCCACAAACCCAGAAATTCATTAATGACTCCAGCCGTTAAAGCGCCCTGCAACTCTGATACCCAAGAAGGGCCTAAAGAACCGTCCTTTCTCTTGATACGTCTTTTGGGTACTATGGCGAACACTCGAGGTGCAATATCAGCTACCCTCTGACCATGGATCCACTTATCAGACCAGAAGAGGGTGCGGGCACCATTTCCAACTTCAGATGCCACTGCCATCGAGAAGAAAGCCTGAACATTTTTATGAATCTGAAGCTGAAACACTCCCACTGGACGACCAGGTTCACTCTTTTGTAGATCCTAAGCGCCCAACAGAGATTTTGGATATTGGAAATGCCAAGACCTCCAAACTCTTTAGGGAGACAAACTTTGGGCCAAGCCACCAAGCAATGGCCACCTTTTACATCCTTTCTACCTGCTTCAACAGCCCAAGGAGGTATATCAACAGCCATAGCTGCAATAACTTCACCAGAGAAAAAAACTAAAACAAAGGTTGTAGTGGCATTTTTCTTTGAGAAGCTTCGAAATTTGGCAGTGACATTACCAATATGCACTAAGATGGTTCCTTGCATAGATGTGTAATTTCTACAAACGTTCTTCTTTTGGCCTCTTGCCCAAGCCTCTTTTCCATTTTAATATCATGATGTTGGTTGATCCTGGGATACTTCACTATGCCCTAGTGCTGTTATGAGTACAATCTTGACAGGGCATGACTACATCCTCAAGTCATCTATTGGATCTCTCACTATGCATTTGAGTTAATTTGAGTATGATCTTGGCAAAGCATAGCAACATCCTCAAAAACTTCATTTTAACTGCAATGTGTTTGTTGTGACTTGCGAATATCATATTTCTTCTTTTAGTCAAGAATGATGTCTGACAGTATCTTTGCTTGCTTCATGTGTTTATCAGCAACATGTTTTATTCCATGGTTGTCAGAATGTTGTTCTCAGACAAATAATGCAATAATTACACATTTGATGCAGTTATGGCGATGGAATCCCAAGCAGAGGCACTCGGCCAGTTAGCAACTGATGATCTAGAAGGAAAGGTAAAAATGAACATTTACAAACCAATCATAAATACTTGCCTTGTGCTAATGGCACATGACTATCTGTATTTACTGGTGAACAGTTTGCACTGCTCGAGACTTCATCTGTTGATGATGATCTTTCACAGCTGAAAAAGGAATTGTCTGGAAGCTCTTTGGTATGTATTGTTATCTGGATTCTCAAATTAGAATTCTAGCAATTGAAGCTAATGAGATATCTGCTGTTGATTTATTTCAGTAAATGTCCATTCTAGCTGACGATCTGTCATCTGTTGATTTATTTCAGCTGTAGCTAACAATTTAAGCTAATGATATATCTGCTTGTTCACACGATAGAACGCAATGATGTTATTTTGGTGTACATTTACTGGACATATTTTTTTTTTAAATGGACATATCGATTAAAAGTGTAGAAAATGGATTACAGTTGGTAGACAGCCATCAAATTTTCGGTCCTTCAAATTATTTTGCTCTATTCATCTTCTATAATCTCCACTGATTCAGAGTTAGTTTTGTTCAATCCCTATGAGGTGGACTTCACCTTTAGAATTCATACTATACCTGGTATATGCTTAACTATGTAAGGCCTATTACAGATATTTCTGTGAACAAAGTCTATGTGAACCTGCTGACGATACACCCATTACCTTTATTTCTTTATTAGAGCAAGCCAGTTGAAGAATGATATGCATATGCAGTGCCTTTTGTCTTACTGGCTTCCCTTCTCTCTTTTTTCTCCTTACAAATGAATTGATTGATCATTTATTCAATACAATACAAAATGAATATAACTGCATGTCACGTACAGAAAGGAGAGCTTCCTTCAGGCAGAACAGCAGTCAGCAACTCAGGTGCTGGGCGTCCTTTCCCCGACCTAGAGATTGAGAGCGAGCTAAACGAGCTGCGGAGGAAGGCCAAAGAATATTAGATTCCATCCTTCTTGTTGATTCACCAGGCCTGACGGAATCTCATTTCCCACAAGATAGTACAGCCGCAGATTGCTCACATTGCGCCTTTGAAACACCAGCGCGCCTTGACTGTTTGTTAATAAGTATGGAATCGGTAAATTTCTCGGCATTTTCCATTCGAGTGACATTTGTACAGCTAGCCATAACTTGTTGTAAATCACTACTCTCCCTAGAGCCTTTTTGCATACTATATATATAGTCAAAGTTTGAAGTTTCCACCTCGTGGTTGTTACTCCCTTCTTTCGTGCCATAACATGTGTTTTGTGACCGACTTGGGAGTCAAGTCGATCAAATATTCCTTTTCCTTGCAGTGCCTGTCGACGGGTCCAACCGTCCAAGTCAGTGCTCGGGTGCGACTGGTTCGTTGTTTAGTTAACCGTTGGTTTCAGTGACATTACCGATGATTCAGTCTCATGACGGGCAGTTGGTCAGCAAGTATGAAGCTTGCTACTACTAATAATCTTGAGTGTGCGGTCGTGTTTGTCTTTGATCAACGTCTGAATTCAGAATTTCTACCTTGCCAAGAGAAACGCGCGGCATGTGGACTTTGAATGCTGCATCATACGGACTTTGAACGGCGGCGCATCCGTGGTGCATGTTTCACTCTTGCGTCCTTGCTCGTACACAACCTTGCCGTTTCATCAGTATCATACTTGCCACCTTTGAAAAAATGCTGCAGCTCTATCGTCAAACTAAGGCTTCACACACGATGACGTTTCATCAGTGCCCCTTTGCGTAATCTGTTGATAGTATCGTGCATGCCAAGCACTTTGTACGGCTGCGAAGAAATTATTAGCAAATAGATCAGTACGGTCGGTAAGCTCAACGCTAGCGTGTCAACTCATCCGGTGCCGGGCTGCCTGTGAATTCAACCGCCTTGACTTTCCAGCGCTTCCCACCCCTAAAATAAGTTATTCCTCAATTGTCATCTAGTTGTTAGCTACAATAACTTTTTTTTTCTCAAACACGAAGAAGAGCTGCGTATCAATTAAGAAGAGAACAAAAACATGGGGAAAGTTCCCTTACACACACAAAACCCACACACACACATATCAAAAGACAACAAACGTGCCCTTTACAACAATAGACCGACCACGACCACAAAATAAACACAAGCCGGTCAACCATCCTCCGGCATAAGGGCCAAGAGAAAGTTAACACCTTGTGCTCCGGCCAAACCTCAAAGATGTAAATCCTCCATAGCTAGCAACACAGCTCGAGCCACACTAGGGAAACCCCATCAAAAACAAGGGAATAAGGCCCTTTTGAATAAGATCAACCGCCCAAACAAACATCTTCCATTTGAGGACAGAGGTGCTGCAGACCAACCCTTTGCAGGAGGGAGAACCAGAATTCTCGAGCAAAACACGCATCTAAGGATGCAAGGTGGGGCGGGCTGCCCGCGCCACCAACCTGCGTAAGCCCGCAATGTGTCCCCACTTAGATAGAGCGGGCCGAAGCGGACAACCCGCATATCCCAGCGGTGACCCACTTCCTGCGTTAGGTGAGCCTATGGCGAACCCAGGGCCGTCACTTTGGTTCCTATATGCGCCCGCGCCCGCCATCTTGCCGTTGTTAAATCCCACCAAAGACCGCTGTTCGCCGACGCCTCCACCGAAGACCGGCGCCGGGTTTGTCGAGCCACGGCGCCATCGACCGGCGAGATTTTTCTTGGTCGTTGCTCCTCCTCAACAGCCGAGTTCCTCAACTGCCGAGTTGCTCCTCCCATTGTATTGTTGTTGGATGTTCTGATTTTTTTTATGAAAACGCCAATTGTTGCATGGTACCGGACTGGTGCTACCAGGAGCAGCAGCACCTGTGTTTGAGTTGGTTCAATTCAATACAGTAGTGGTTGAAAACGATGAATCAATGGAGTTCAAGTTGCACGTTTTTCCTGGGATGGATTCGCTGTAGTGGCAGGGTGGAGGTGTCTAGCAGACAGCAGCGGACGTGTGTTGCCCGTTGCGGCACTTTACGGCTGCCGATCCAACCCACAAATATAGAGCGGCGAGATGTGGGCCGCCGCATCAGCTCTCATAAGACTTGCGGTTGGAGTGGATGCGGGGCGGGCTGCCCACCGCCGCCCCATTTGCATCCTTACACGCATCACAACAACTGGTGGTTGGTGTTTTCCTCGTCCTGATCACAATGGGGGCAAGTAGTAGGATGCTGAAGGCCACGTCTTGCAAGTCGATCGGCTGTCTAACATCTGTTTCTAGCAACCAACCACATGAAGAAATGGCACTTTCCAGGTGCCCAAGATTTCCAAATCCTCTCCCAAGGATGGAAGGCAATTGTCCTCTGAAAAAATGCTGCATAAGCAGATTTTGTCGATTAGCCATCACTAGAGAGTCGCTAGATGAAAGAATCTTCGCCCCGGCTGCAAGACTACTATTGAAATGACATCCCACAAACCCAGAAATTCATTAATGTCTCCAACAGTTAGAGCTCCCTGCAACTTTGATACCCAAGAATGATTCGTGGGGGCCTCAAAAACCGTCCTTCTCTTAATACGTCTTTTGGGTACTATGGCGAACACTTGAGGTGCAATATCAGCCACCCTCTGACCATGGATCCACTTATCAGACCAGAAGAGGGTGCGAGCACCATTTCCAACTTCAGATACCACTGCCACTGAGAAGAAAGCCTGAACATTTTTATGAATCTGAAACTGAAACACTCCCCATGGACGACCAGGATCACTGTTTTTATAGCCACAGACCTCTAATCCTAAGCGTCCAACAGAGATTTTGGATATTGGAAATGCCAAGACCTCCAAGCTCTTTAGAGAGACAAACTTTGGGCCAAGCCACCAAGCAATGGCCACCTTTTACATCCTTTCTACCTCTCCACAAGAAACCTCTTCCGATTTTGTCAAACCAAGATGCACTAAGATGGCTCATTGCATAGATGTGTCATTTCTGGAAACGTTCTTCTTTTGGCCTCTTGTCCAATCCTTTTCAACAGGATTTTCCATTTTAATATCATGATATTGGTTGATCCTTGGATATTTCACTATGCCTTAGTGCTGCTATGAGTACGATCTTCATAAGGCATGACTACAATCTACATCCTCAAGTCATCTATTGGATCTCTCACTATGCATTTGAGTTAATTTGAGTATGATATTGGCAAAGCATAACAACATCCTCAAAAACTTCATTTTAACTGCAATGCGTTTGTTGTGACTTGCGAATATCATATTTCTTCTTTTTGTCAAGAATGATGTCTGATGGTATCTTTGCTTGCTTCATGTGTTTATCAGCAACATGTTTTATTCCATGGTAGAATGTCAGAATGTTGTTCTCAGACAAATAATGCAATAATTACACATTTGATGCAGTTATGGCGATGGAATCCCAAGCAGAGGCACTCGGCCAGTTAGCAACTGATGATCTAGAAGGAAAGGTAAAAATGAACATTTACAAACCAATCATTAAATACTTGCCTTGTTGTGCTAATGGCACATGACTATCTTTATTTATTGGTTAATAGTTTGCACTGCTCGAGACTTCATCTGTTGATGATGATCTTTCACAACTCAAAAAGGAATTGTCTGGAAGCTCTTTGGTATGTATTGTTATCTGGATTCTCAAATTAGAATTCTAACAATTGAAGCTAATGATATATCTTCTGTTGATTTATTTCAGTAAATGTTCATTCTAGCTGATGATCTTTCATCTGTTGATTTATTTCAGCAACAGCTAACAATTTAAGCTAATGAGATATCTGCTTATTCACAAGATAAAATGACATGATGCTATTTTGGTGTACATTTACTGGACGTATTTTTGTTTTTTTTTAAAAAAAATTGGGCGTTGATTAATCTATACAATATGGATTACAATGAGTAGACAGCCATCAAATTTTTGGTCCTTCCAAAATATTTTGCTCTATTCATCTTCTATAATTTCCACTGATTCAGAGTTGGCTTTGGTCAATCCCTCTGAGGTGGACTTCACCTTTAGAATTTGTTCCTTCTTTTGAGTCTTCGTAGTATACCTGGTCATAACCTAATGCTTAAGTATGCAAGGCCTAATACAGATATTTCTGTGAACAAAGTCTATGTGAACCTGCTGACGATACACCCATTACCTTTATTTCTTTATTAGAGCAAGCCCGTTGAAGAATGATATGCATATGCACTGCCTCTTGTTTGTCTTACTGCTTCCCCTTCTCTCTCTTTTTCTCCTTACAAATGAATTGGTTGCTCATTTATTCAATACAAAATGAATATAATTGCATGTCACCTACAGAAAGGAGAGCTTCCTCCAGGGAGAACAGCAGTCAGCAACTCAGGTGCTGGGCGCCCTTTCCCTGACCTAGAGATTGAGAGCGAGCTAAACAAGCTGCGGAGGAAGGCCAAAGAATATTAGATTCCATCCTTCTTGTCAATTCAGCAGGCCTGACGGAATCTCGTTTCCCAGAAGACAGTACAGCTCACATTGTGCCTTTGAAACACAAGTGCGCCTTGACTGTTTGTTAATGAGCATGGAATCGGTAATTTTCTCGGCATTTTCCCTTCGCGTGACATTTGTACAGCTAGCCATAAGTTGTTGTAAATCACTACTCGCCCTAAAGCC